AGCCTGGGGGTGGCTGGATCCAATCTCAGGCTCAGGTTTTTGTTTCGATTGAAGGAATTCTAGAGGTGTGATTCAATCACTTTGTCCTGCAGGTTTTAGTGATGGCAAATCAGAAGTATTTCTATAAAAAGAATTATTTATTATGACAAATGAACAGACAATTGATCAGACAATGACCAGAGGAAAGACCTTAAACGGAATTATTTCCTGCACAGTATAAAAGCCAAAAACTCCTAGCAGTATAGTGTAAGATAGGACAGTGCAGTCTATCAAAGTCATTCTATTAAAGCAATTGGATCAAAGCCAGCAAAAAGAAACAATCCTGAAGCAGAGATTGAGGTAACTTACCCCACAACAACAGGGGGTAGTTCCCTCTCTTTCACTTAACCCCTGGGGAGTGACCATGAAGAGCTGTCCCTGCTTCTTTGGAGAACCTCCACACACTTCAAGGAAGTCTGTGGAAGAATCTGCCACATGAAAGTTGGACGGGGCTTTTATAGTTGTCAAGGGTTTGACTAGCAGACATATTTGCAGGCCAGGGAGCAGTTTATCTGTCAAATCCTGCTTCAAAAAGCAGGATGTGTGTTTGAAGTTTCATAAAGCATTTTGGGTTTAGCAGAATTCAACATTAAAAACAGCACCTTGGCACCAGCAGTAACTCACCACAGAGAGCTTGCATTGTTTGCATTCTGTGACCATTGTTTAGGTATTATCAGAGCAGAGCATCCTGCCAGAAATGGCCCCTTGATTCCATGAGGTTCCAAAAACTCTGAGGGTTCCTTTAGTTCCTTGAGGCCCTGCAATGTCACAAGAGATCCTTGGTTCCGTGAGGTTCCGGAGTGTCACAATGGCCCTGATGATTTCATGAGTTTCCACTATGGCCCAGGATTCCTTTGGTTCCATGAGGCCCTGCAGTGTCACAATGGCCCTGATGATTTGAGTTTCCACTATGGCCCAGGATTCCATTGGTTCCATGAGGCCCTGCAGTGTCACAATGACCCCTTGATTCCAGGATGTTCCAAAACATCCCAGGGTTCCC